GTGGAGGGGTTTCCCATTTGTGCAGCTGTAGACAGAAAGCTCTTTAGCAGTTTACACAGAGTCAATGTTGAAATGTCCTGCATACCACCCTCTTTAATGCCAAGACACAAGAAGAGCAGGGACTTCCCAAACCATCTAGCTTTGGTGAATTTATTTAGAATCTCGCAATTAGACAATCTGGAAAGAAGGTATTTTTAACTGCAGGGCACATGTAATTTTTTGCTTTACAATTTAGCTTTTTTGTTTAAAAATTTAGGTTGATTATAGTCTCAGTAATCAAGGTGTCCAAAAGTCTTAATCTAGCCCTGATAGTAAACTCTTACTAAAGTGATGGAAAACAGCAGCAGCCTCTTGGATTGTCAGTGCTGCGTGATGATGATGATTTTAATTGCCCATATTTGTGCTGTGAATGTAAATTAGTGTAGCTGTTATAGGGAACACTATGGAGATTCCTCAAAACACTAAAAGTAAAAATATCGTATGACCCAGCATTCTCTTATTGTTGGGATCTAAAAGGTCTCCCAAAGGCTATGTGCCAGGCTTGGTTCCCAGTGCAGCAGTGTTCAGAGATGGGGCTTAGAGAACGACTGGATCATGAGGACTGTGATGTTATCTGTGGAGTCGTCCACTGATGGGCTCATAGCTTGATGGCACTTTGGGAGGTAATAAACACTCAGGGATCTAGTTGAAGGGGGGTAGGTCGTGGGGGCATGAGTTTGGGGATATATCTTGTCCTTGGCCCTCCTCCCCTTCCCCCCTTTCCTCTTCTTTTTCCTTTCTAGCTGCCATGAGGTAAACAGCTTCTTTCTCTACAGGCTCCCACCACAGTGATATCCTTCCTTGCCTGAGGCCCAAAGTGATGGAGCCAGTCAACCATGGACTGAACCTCTGAAACTATGAGTCAAAATAACCTCCTTTCCTCCTCTAAGTTTTCTCAGGTATCTTGTTATAGCAATGGAAAGCTAATACATACCCCGTTTCTGGACATATATCCAAAGGGGGAAGAGTCAGTACATTAAAGAGATATCTGTTTTTTCATGTTTATTCCAATGTTCATTTTTAAAACTTGACTTATAACCTAAGAATTTATGAACATAACACATTTAAAAGTCAAGGTTGAAACTTGAAAAGGAAAAGAGTTCTCTGCCTCATTTTCAAGTTCCACTTCCCAAGTCAACCATATTCAACTTCGCAACTTTTCTTTTTTGTGTACCTTTGCTTTTCTATGTCACAAGTGCCTGTACAACTATGTTTTAATTCTTTATTTTATACTATGAACTTCCTACTATGGGTAGAGAATTTGAGTCTTGTTCTTTCCTGTCTGTTATATCTGTATATCTGCCTCTCTGTCTCTCTCATCTTTCCTCCACCCATCATTCCAATATATTATATAACAATTTTTAACTAACTCGGTGTTTAAATTGGCACCATGTAAGTAGTGTTCTAACTTACTGTTTTTGCAGAACTTAATAAATTCATTGGATATTTTTACATTGCTTAGTTTCCTGATTACTTCTAAGTCATCCCTAAATTCTCCAATCATACTGAAAACTTCTTTCATTATAGTCAAATCCTATGGGTCATCCATTAATCCCACTCCTTGGGAGATAGCCATTCAGCCTTGGAGCTTTCTGACCCATTCCAATCTGAATGATTTGTCGCCCAGTAATCCTAATCTCCCTTTACTATCATTCCAAGTATATCCTCCAGCTCTCTTCTGTTGGATCCATCATCTCTGAAAGTTTATGTCTTTGTGACATTCTTGATTTATTTCTACCCTTTGGTGGAGTTTAATCTCCAGGAACTTCTAAGAAAAACCTTGTGAGGCAGATATTTTTGAAACCTCTTTTATGAGACTAAAAATATCTGTATTCCTCTCTCATACTTCACTGGTTTTTTGGGTAGATAAAAAAAAAATTATGTTGAAATTTTATTATCTACTAGCTTTCAGCATTGTTGAAAATATGACATCATTCTTTCTCCTAGTGCTTTATAAATGAAGTTTTATTCTCGCTAGGCGTTTTTATTATTTCTTTGGTCAATTTGTTTTTACTCACCTTCCCTGGAATTTCTATCAGTTAGATCCTGGACCATCTAGATTGACTATTTTGTTTTTAAATTATTTTTATAGAAATTCTGCTAAACTTTATTTCTCAAATTTCCTATTAATTTTTTACTTTTGCTATTAAAATTATAATTTCAAGTATTCATTCTTATTTTTATATAGAACTTTTTGTTTGTTTTTTTGGAGATATTTTTAGGTATCTTTTAAGATTGCAATAAATTTTGAAAATTTCCTTACATTGCTTCCTGAGTCTTTTTTTCTTTTTTTCTTGGTACTGGGAATTGAACTCAGGACCTTGCACTTGCCAGGCAGGAACTTGTGCCACTGAGCTATATCCCCAGTCCTTCCTGAGTCTTTTGTATGTTTTGATTTGATATCTCTCTGACTCTGTCTCTCTCTATCTTGGTCTTGCTCTCCCCGACCCACTTAGCCCCCTATAGATATCCTCAGATACTGCCAGTCATCAGCTATATATTCATATCTAAGTGTATAATATTAAAAGTCAATTTAAGCTCTTTCTGTGGGTCCAGAGATTATCAACTGGTAGGGCTCACTCCTGCTGTTTTGTTGGTACAATGTCATCTATAGGATTCTTGGGCTGATAAGCGATCTTCTAAAGGGGTCCATGTTGTTCTTCACTATCAGTGTGGACAGTATTACAGAAGCCAAGTAGGGGTGGTGTCTGGGGATTTTCTCTTCCAACATGCAAACTTTCACTTTGTCCCTCTATTTTCATATATATGCCACTCTGCCTTGATTCAGGAAAGAATCCCCTGGTGGTGCCAGTGGAGGGAAAAGGACCTGGGATCCTTCTTCATTCTGTTCACCAATCCTCCTATTTTCATCTTTGCTCACATCCTGCCTTCACGAGTACTTGGGCTTCTAAATTCCAAGCCTTTCTCACATGCTGCGGGTTTACCCACCCTACTTGTTTCCCAAGTGCATCTTAGGCTGTCACCTTTCAGGTTTGTTGTCTACCACTCATCTGTCTGCTTTCTGTTTTTTTTAACTACAGTACTTTGGGGGTGTGTCCCACAGGAGTAAAAGTCACTGGGAAGAGTGGCCATAGGTTGGCTGGAGAGAGAGGCTACCTGTGAGGAGGGATGCACAAAAGGAACTCAGGGCAAAAGGAATGCCACCTGGGCTGAGACCTGTGAGCAGAAGGAGAGGAAATATGGCAACTGGGACTAGCTGCAGGCACACGGGCTGAGAGGAGCAAGTTGGACTCTAAGCCACAGAGCTCTTTGGCTTCCTCCTCCTGCTCATTTGCCTTTTTCTGCTTCTGTTGCATGATCTTTGAGTTCCTCTGCTTATGGGCAGCAGCAGAAAGCCATCAAAGTCATCTCATGTTTTCCCTTAACTGAGTCCCTCTGATTTTTTATATTCTTCTGGCTGGTGAGCCCTCCAGGTCATGGCTCCAGCCTGCCTACATTGTGTCCCCTCTTTCTGTTGACATTGCAGACCTGCTTTTTATCTTCAGAAATTCACTGGCAGCTTTCTTATATTCCTTTTTCCTGTAGGTTTATGTCAGCTTTATTTCTTTACCATCATTTTAGTGTGATTCCAGGCAGAGATAAATGTGTGTTTTCATTCCATATTTCTAGTGTGTATTTCTGTAGATCATATAGTCTAGACAGGAATTTTTATATAACTTACCCAAGCTAGTGTTATCTACTTTTCTGTAGTGAAACTATCTTTTTCAAGATATAATTTTATATAGAAATCCAATTTATAAAACAGGTAATTGTGAAGATAATTTTGCTTTTGACTGGCAAAGGAAAAAGGTCTGCATCTAATTTCCTCTAAAAACATTTTAAAACATTTGTTAAGGGCCCCTTCTAAGTCAGACACAGTATTAGACTAGAGAAACAGACACGAACAGTAAAGGCATAGCTTCTCACTCATGCTGCTCAGTACACTTCCCCATGCTCAGTCCTGGAGGTGCGCAGGGAGCCTACTAAGAGAATAACTGACTTAATCTGAGATCCATGGGGAGAAGGTAACTTGGTCAAAGGAAAGCCTTCTGAGTCTTCTAGACCATCCTTAGAGCTAACTGTACTGTACTCAATGAGCATTACTACATGCAATTAAACAGATGACAAGTGAAGAGGAAAATCAGTTATGTTATGACTTTTTTCACATGGGAATGCAGCACAAGCTAGAAAAAGACTATTGACTGTGGATAGAACTTCTAATAGTAGTGACTAACCACAAAAAAAAACTCTGTTCATCTTTATTCCTGTTGTTCCCTTTGTAGAGATTGCTTTTAGTTATGCAACTAAAATTCCTAAAATAAGAACTCAAAATCAGATTTAAAAGAAGAAAATCTCAGCCCTTGTCACCTTTAAGAATTGTTGTGTGAAAATTTACTGTTTAGTGCTTCAAGTTATCACAGGCTTTTTGGATTTAAGAGAAAGAAAAAACTGAGAAATAAGGTTTCATCCTTGAAGCATAGCAATCCCATTTATAGAGAATGACAATGTTAACAAAAATCAGTTTTGTTTTTCAGACCAAATCTTTTCCAGTGACTGCCTGACCTTCAGAGTGATGGTCTTTTCAGCTTGACTGAATGCAATCTGCTTGTATAGGACCAGTTAGGTAGAAGAGATCCCTCTTCCAGGGACTGTAAACCTATTGCTATGCACTACCAGGCCACCACTGGATCCCAAGGAGCTGCGAAATTTCAATTGTCTCATCCTTGGAGACTGAAAGTCAGTAATAATAACAATAATGACAACAACAAAAATAAGAATAATAAAATTCTTCTTTGACTTTCCTGGCCCACAAGCCAGACACGCAACCTCTGTGGGCCTCATTTCCTCACCTGTAAAATGAAGAGGTTGGACCAAATACCTGTAAGATTCCTCCCAAGCTTCTTGGATATTTCAGTAAAAACAGTACGTGTCACTGCAGTTTGGAACCTGAAGAAACTTACCATGAGAGGAGCAGCCCAGGACACTTTCCAAACACCTGGCCAGGGCTTCAGTATCGCTATCCTGTCAGAGCAAGAGAGACACTTACTTTCTCTGTATGGTAGAAGAATATTTAATGACACAGAAACATGTTCTTGCTATACTTATATAGCAAGAGCCCCACAAAAATATGATATCTTCAAAATTATTTTACAAGTTTTAAAAGAGTAACAGCCTCTCCTTTTCTATTTCTCTTCATATCAATATCTATCACTTGAGGCTTTTCTAGGTAAATGGATGCAATTAGAGACCATACTCATAAGCGAAATAAATCAGATTCACATGTGTAAACATTGCATTGTCTCACTAGCATAAGAACCTGAAAGAGTAAACAAAATCTGAAAGATACAATAGATATTGTTAAAGGGAAAAAAACTGCTCCAAAAGAAAGAACAACTGAGATAAGGGAAAGGAAAGAAAGAAAGAAAGAAAAAGAAGGGAAAA